TACTTCCTCAATCCCTCCGTAACGTTGTAACTGAAGTTTGTCCTCAGTGAATATCATATTGTTGTCAGTGGCCCACTGGAAGACTTGGTTTATATCAGCTTGGAGACTCACTGTGTCTTCTATGAATGACACTCCCACACAGATTCTAGTATCGTCTACAAAAAAAAAAATAATACAGGGCTATGGTTTATGTCGCTGTCTATGTCAGATATGAGAATGAGAAGCAGAACAGATACTGATCCTTGGGCAACAGAATTTCTTCACTGCAGCAGCCTCTTACCTGGAGTTTACCTGGAGAGAGTTCCGGGGGTCAACGCCCCCGCGGCCCGGTCTGAGACCAGGCCTCCTGGTGGATCACAGCCTGATCAACCAGGCTGTTGCTGTTGGCTGCACGCAAACCAACATACGAGCTACAGCCCGGCTGATCCGGAACTGACTTTAGGTGCTTGTCCAGTGCCAGCTTGAAGACTGCCAGGGGTCTGTTGGTAATCCCCCTTATGTGTGCTGGGAGGCAGTTGAACAGTCTCGGGCCCCTGACACTTATTGTATGGTCTCTTAACGTGCTAGTGACACCCCTGCTTTTCATTGGGGGGATGGTGCATCGTCTGCCAAGTCTTTTGCTTTCGTAATGAGTGATTTTTCGTGTGCAAGTTCGGTACTAGTCCCTCTAGGATTTTCCAGGTGTATATAATCATGTATCTCTCCCTCCTGCGTTCCAGGGAATACAGGTTTAGGAACCTCAAGCGCTCCCAATAATTGAGGTGTTTTATCTCCGTTATGCGTGCCGTGAAAGTTCTCTGTACATTTTCTAGGTCGGCAATTTCACCTGCCTTGAAAGGTGCTGTTAGTGTGCAGCAATATTCCAGCCTAGATAGAACAAGTGACCTGAAGAGTGTCATCATGGGCTTGGCCTCCCTAGTTTTGAAGGTTCTCATTATCCATCCTGTCATTTTCCTAGCAGATGCGATTGATACAATGTTATGGTCCTTGAAGGTGAGATCCTCCGACATGATCACTCCCAGGTCTTTGACGTTGGTGTTTCGCTCTATTTTGTGGCCAGAATTTGTTTTGTACTCTGATGACGATTTAATTTCCTCATGTTTACCATATCTGAGTAATTGAAATTTCTCATCGTTGAACTTCATATTGTTTTCTGCAGCCCACTGAAAGATTTGGTTGATGTCTGCCTGGAGCTTTGCAGTGTCTGCAATGGAAGACACTGTCATGCAGATTCGGGTGTCATCTGCAAAGGAAGACACGGTGCTGTGGCTGACATCCTTGTCTATGTCGGATATAAGGATGAGGAACAAGATGGGAGCGAGTACTGTGCCTTGTGGAACAGAGCTTTTCACCGTAGCTGCCTCGGACTTACTCTGTTGACGACTACTCTCTGTGTTCTGTTAGTGAGGAAATTATAGATCCATCGACCGACTTTTCCTGTTATTCCTTTAGCACGCATTTTGTGCGCTATTACGCCATGGTCACACTTGTCGAAGGCTTTTGCAAAGTCTGTATATATACATCTGCATTCTTTTTGTCTTCTAGTGCATTTAGGACCTTGTCGTAGTGGTCCCAATAGTTGAGACAGACAGGAGCGACCTGTTCTAAACCCATGTTGCCCTGGGTTGTGTAACTGATGGGTTTCTAGATGCGTGGTGATCTTGCTTCTTAGGACCCTTTCAAAGATTTTTATGATATGGGATGTTAGTGCTATTGGTCTGTAGTTCTTTGCTGTTGCTTTACTGCCCCCTTTGTGGAGTGGGGCTATGTCTGTTGTTTTTAGTAACTGTGGGACGACCCCCGTGTCCATGCTCCCTCTCCATAGGATGGAAAAGGCTCGTGATAGGGGCTTCTTGCAGTTCTTGATGAACACAGAGTTCCATGAGTCTGGCCCTGGGGCAGAGTGCATGGGCATGTCATTTATCGCCTGTTCGAAGTCATTTGGCGTCAGGATAACATCGGATAGGCTTGTGTTAATCAAATTTTGTGGCTCTCTCATAAAAAATATCATTTTGATCTTCGACTCTCAGTCTGGTTAGCGGCTTGCTAAAAACTGAGTCATATTGGGACTTGAGTAGCTCACTCATTTCCTTGCTGTCATCTGTGTAGGACCCATCTTGTTTAAGTAGGGGCCCAATACTGGACGTTGTTCTCGATTTTGATTTGGCATAGGAGAAGAAAATACTTTGGGTTTCTTTCGATTTCATTTATGGCTTTTAGTTCTTCCGCGATTCCTGACTCCTAAAGGATTCTTTTAGCTTAAGTTCGATGCTTGCTATTTCTCTGACCAGTGTCTCCCTGCGCATTTCAGATATATTGACCTCTTTTAGCCGCTCTGTTATTCTTTTCCGTCGCCTGTAAAGGGAGCGCCTGTCTCTTTCTATTTTACATCTACTCCTCCTTTTTCTTAGAGGAATAAGCCTTGTGCATACATCGAGTGCCACCGAGTTAATCTGTTCTAGGCATAAGTTTGGGTCTGTGTTGCTTAGTATATCTTCCCAGCTTATATCGGTTAGGACTTGGTTTACTTGGTCCCACTTTATGTTTTTGTTATTGAAGTTGAATTTGGTGAATGCTCCCTCGTGACTAGTCTCATTTTGTCGGTCTGGGGCTCCACGCATACATGTCTGAACCTCAATTATGTTGTGATCTGAGTATATTGTTTTTGGTTTTTGATTTTATCCTTAATATTACTGTTTGAATTCCATTAGTTAGGAAATTAAATTTCCACCTGCCCACCTATCCACCTATTTCCTTGTGCTTACTTATTCCCATGGTCGCACTTATCCAAGGCTTTTTCTAAGTCGGTGTATACTACATCTGCATCATGCTTGACTTCCGGTGTATGCAAGACCATGCCATAATGATCTATCAGTTGCGAGAGGCAGGAGCGACCTGTTCTGAACCCAAGTTGATCTGGGTTATGCCATTGCTGCAATTCTATATGACTAGAAATCTTGCTTCTTAAACCCTTTTCAAAAGTCTAAATAATGTGAGACGTCAGTACTATAGGTCTATAGTTTTTTAAGTTGCTTTGTTGCCCCCTTAATGGAGAGGTTATATCGGTGGTTTTTAATGACTGTGGGACGAGTCAAGTGTCTAGGTTCCTACCTCGTAGAATATTTAAGGCACGTGATAATAGTTTCTTGCAATTCTTGATGAATATGGAGTTGTACGAGTCAGGGACTAGGGTGGAGTACATGGACATGCAGTCAATGGCTTCTTCGAAGTCAGGTGGGGGTTAGGATTATATCAGAGATCATGGAGGTGTCTGTAGCACTGTCTCGTTCATGAAGAATTCATTTGGGTCTCCCATCTATAGGCTGAGTAACGATTCGCTGAATACTGAGTGTACCATATACAAACCTAACCTTACCTAACCTCCCATACACAAACCTAACCTCATCTAACAATAAGGAACACAGGGTGTTTAATAACAGTAAACACAAGATGTCTAACAGTTACTTACAAACACAGAATGCTTAATAAATGAACAATAACTAAGACACGTTCACCCAGCAATGAAATTTATACGAAATGCAAAAGAAACTAACAAAAAACAGAAATTGTTACAAGGATATTATAGTCTTTAAAATGAAAACTATAGGCATTTGGAAGCATTAAACTTCTTAACATAGGGCACCGAGATGCTGGCGAAGAGCTCTTGATCCACGGAACTGGAGATAAACTTGCAGTGTTCAGCATTAAATATGACTGTCTTCCATTCCCCCAGGCGTTGTATGCCCCCTGGGAAATGGAAGGCTTCCTCGTGATAATGATAACATGAAGATACAAATATAATAAGAAAGGATTGTCTGAGAGTGTTGCTGGTGGTGGTGTGGATGACATCTTCAAGGTCACGAGAAGAGGAAAACACAGAGCGCTTGCTTCTTGCCAGAGTGCTGGGCAGAATCATACCTTGTATTATCTAGTGTGTGATGCATACACAAAAACACACCAACGCCCTATCCTTCCCTTTATAAGCACACACTCCGTCTCCATCCCTGCTTGCAAGCTTATCCCTGACCTCTCCTGGCCGCAGTGCAAACACCAACCCCAACCCTACCTCTCCAACTCCTCTTGGATGAAGAACATGCAGAAAGACTAGAAAACACAAACTAGTATATGGTGAGGGAAACAAAATTAAAAATGTGGTACACAAATGCTGATGGATTATCAAGAGTGAAGAGCTGAAGGAACGAACAGCTGAGATAGCTCCACACATCACATCTCTCACAGAGACAAAGCTGATAGATAATATGTCTGATGCCATATTTACAGCAGGATATCAGATGATAAGGAAAGACAGAAGAAACAAGGGAGGTTGAGTAGTGCCACTGTACATCAGAAATTAGTGGAACTGAGGAGTGAGGGATAAACAAAACAACAAAATGTAGTGACTATATTTAAGAAAGGGGACACTCAGGAAGCACTGAACTATAGACCTGTTTTTCTGACATGCTAGTAGAGGGACTGATTACCTCATCTTTTATATAACGTTACGTCCTTGAATTTGTATTGATAAAGCCACTGGACGGCGAAACGTCTACATGTACATGTGTCTAATTTTCACATATAGGTGAGTACATATACATGATCACACACACACAGCATCACCTCAGCCAGGTGAGAGGTAATGTGTGTATACTGGAAGGTGATCCAGGTATGTCAGGACATGAAGCCGTGACCCGACCCCAGCAAACATAACTAGGTGAGTACGCACACACACACACACACACACACACACACACACACACACACACACACACACACACACACACACACACACACACACACACACACACACACACACACACAACCGGTTTCAAAGTCCTCAGCAGCTAACATTAGAAGCAACTTTACACACGATATAGCAACATTCCAACACGCTTGACCTCAGTTCTACTCAGCAGTCCAGAGGCTAATTCTGCAAGGCACCTCTGCCATCTATTGATCAGCAGTTGAGCTTCAACTAGCGTAGGAGGGAGGGTTGTACTAACCAATTTTTGACTGCGGGGTCGAATCCTGGCTCCTGGCCTCCGCGTCCAAGCTCCGACTGACACTGCATGGGCCGGTGGGTTTAGCTCTTCTCCATGAATGAATAATAACAGAAGTAGTAGTAGTAGTAGTAGTAGTAGTAGCAATAATAATAATAATAATAATAATAATGTTTGTGTGTACGAATCAAGATATGAGCTCACCTGTGCGCTGAGGGACTGAGTTCTAGCTCCTGACGCCTCAACTCCCCCAACCCCCTACCATCTTCCTGAAGGGAGGCGCCTTAATACCGGAGTTTGGGACTGGTGATTCAAGGAATCAGATCTATCCTCTCCCCATGTGGAACCTGACTCTCCGCCATCTCGTTTGTCAGTGAAAGTAAGTTTATTTAGATACAGGTACACATAAATAGTTACACAAATTATCATACACAGTAGCATATGTGTAAATTACATAGGATAACCCCCCTCCCCCCAAAAAAGTCGAAGTGACTTATTTCCACTGAGGCCCGTGGAAGAGTTCCGTGGAAGAGGTCAGTAAATTAAAGAGTTCTCGCAGACATATCCTTCATGCAGAAGCACATTGACAGTCATCACCTTGTATCACTTGTATTGCTCTCAGTAAGAGAAATGTTGAACATGATCCAGTGAAGGTGAGTGAGTCTTTGCGCCCTTCCCAGATCCTGGATGGTTAAATTCGAGAAGCCAGTTGCTGGACCAGGTGTCCGGCCTGTCCAGGTCTCTTTGAAGTCCTACCTGATCCTGGGTGGTGTATGTGGGTGTGTGTGTGTGTGTGTGTGTGTGTGTGTGTGTGTGTGTGCTCACCTAATTGTGGTTGCAGGAGTCGAGACTCAGCTCCTGGCCCCGCCTCTTCACTGATTGCTACTAGGTCCTCTCTCTCTCTGCTTCCTGAGCTTTATCATACCTCTTCTTAAAACTATGTATGGTTCCTGCCTCCACTACTTCACTTGCTAGGCTATTCCACTTCCTGACGACTCTATGACTGAAGAAATACTTCCTAACGTCCCTGTGACTCGTCTGAGTCTTCAGCTTCCAGTTGTGACCCCTTGTTCCTGTGTCCCCTCTCTGGAACATCCTATCTCTGTCCACCTTATCTATTCCCCGCAGTATCTTGTATGTCGTTATCATGTCTCCCCTGACCCTTCTGTCCTCCAGTGTCGTCAGTCCAATTTCCCTCAACCTTTCCTCGTACGACATTCCCCTGAGCTCTGGGACTAGCCTTGTTGCAAACCTTTGTACTTTCTCTAACTTCTTGACGTGCTTGATCAGGTGTAGGTTCCAGACTGGTGCTGCGTGTGTGTGTGTGTGTGTGTGTGTGTGTGTGTGTGTGTGTGTGTGTGTGTGTGTGTGTGTGTGTGTGTGTGTGTGTGTGTGTGTGTGTGTGTGAAAGAGAGCATCACACGTCATTGCGTCATTATTAATCTCTGGAAAGAAGTTAGAGAAGCGATGGGTGCTACTAGGTCAGTTGCCGTGCTCCTTCCTTAAGTGAATGTGACCTGACCTAACTAGGTTGGGGCACTGGCTGAAGCAGGTAGGAGACTTGGACCTGCCTCGCATGGGCCAGTAGGCCTGCTGCAGTGTTCCTTCTTTCTTATGCTCTTATGTATATTCTTAATACAAGAGACACAGTAAAGAACTTTAGATAATATTTCAACCCGGGGGGAGGGGGAGGGGGAGGGGGAGGGGGAGGGGAGAAGCAAAAACAACCTGGGAGGAGATAACTTCCGGGACTCAGACAAATAACTAGGTACTTAAACTAACTACTAGTGGGTTTACAAATGACTTAGTGGCTCAAGTAAGAATCGAAGACATAAACCTTAAGAAGCAAACATTGCGATGTGGTAGAGGTGCTTTGTCAGAGCTTCGAACCTACGAACTCTGACAAAGGAGCAGAGACTGTGTTGACCCAGCCACAGACACGGGTGGAGAGGGGAAGAGATATCAAGTTATGTTAAGAACATAAGAACGAAAGAACACTGCAGCAGGCCTACTGGCCCATGCGAGGCAGGTCCAAGTCTCCTACCGGCTTAAGCCAATGCACCCAACCTAGTCAGGTCAGGTCACCTTGACTTAAGGGAGGAACACGGCAACCGTCCTGGTAGCACAAGCTAATCAGGTCCAACTCACACCCACCCACACCCACTCATGTATTTATCCAACCTATTTTTAAAGCTACACAACGTTCTGGCCTCTAGGACTGTACTTGGGAGTTTGTTCCACTCATCCACAACTCTATTACCAAACCAGTACTTTCCTATATCCTTCCTGAATCTGAATTTTTCTAACTTAAAACCATTGCTGCGAGTCCTGTCTAGGCTAGATATGGAAATATAAACACAAATGCAATATAATGTGATCCTTTATTGACAACGTTTCACCCACACAGTGGGCTTTCTCAAGTCACACACGGATCTACCTGGGGTTGGAAGGTATAAGAGTATTTATAGTCAGAATGTTGAGGTCAGGTGAAGAATGCTGCATCTGATGATCCACCGGGTGGGGTTATAGAGTCTTGGGTAGCTTGGCGGGGGTATTGGACAAGTTTAGATTTTTCGGGCGTGTTCTTTTTTTCTTTTTTGGGATAGCGAGAAGAAGTTTTTTTTGGGGGAGTGTTCAGCTATGCTATAGAAGCCATTGTTCGGGTTTAAAATTGTTCGTTGTAGAGAAAAAGCGAGGGATTCCAGATTCTTCTTTTATTGATTTGTTGTTTTCTGTGGCTATAAGTCTTGATTTTTCCTGTAGTTTTAAAGGGGTTTGGGGAATTGCGATGCTTTTACACGGATTCCTTGTATCGTCAGTCCTGCTTCAAAATTGGTTTTTAAAAATGCGTTTTTTGGGAGGTCTCTTGATTTTTTCCCCCACATAAAATTTTTTTGCAGTCATTACAAGGAATTATGTATCCCCTGCAGGGGGAATGGGGGTTTGGTCCTTTTCTACTGGTGGCCCTTGATGGTCGTGTTGGGGAAAGGTAGTTTATTTGGAAAAGATTTTTTTGGAAAAGATGTTGGAAACATGTTTGGCAATGGGGTTTTTTGGGAGGACTAGTATCCTTCTCGGCAGTTTTCCTTCTCGGGGTGTTTTTGAAGATGTTTAATCCCCGCCGTTGCTTCTTGATGAAGGATTTAGGATAGTGGATTTTGGGAAAAAATACTTGTAAATTTAATAGTGCTTTTTCCCCAAAAGGGAAACTCATTGCTGCAGATTCTGAGTGCACGTAGGAAGAACCCTTATAATCAAAACCACTTTTGGGTTTTTGGGGTGTCGGGGTGGGGAGTAAAAGTGGAGAAGTTCTTTTTGGTTTTGGGGGGTTTTCGATAGATTTTAAAACAAAGTTCGTGGTCAGTTTGCAGAGCGGGGAACATAAAGGGAAAAGGGAAGAGTGTTTTTCGACTTTTTCTCAAGTGTGAACTGGTTTAAAGGGGTCGACCGGGTTTTGAGCTTGCTTGGAGAGCTTAAACGTTAAAAGCTTTTAGGGTTATGAGGAAAATGTCGTCAACAAAAAGGGACCAGTGACGGGAACAAGGAAAAAATGGGGAGAAACTTTCGGCTTCTAGATTTTTCCATGTTAAATTTTCGCCAGGACTCCCACTGAGGGGCGAACCCAGGGGGAAGCCCAAAAAATTTGGGGAAAGAGGGTGATTTTCGAAGGAAAAACACGTAAAGGGCCAACACATAGTTCAAAAAGGGTTCGATAAAATCGTGGCGGGAAAAGGGGAAGATCAAGTAAATTCGTAAAATTTTCCTGCGAAAGGGAAAAAAATTGGGAAGATTCACTTGATTTTCCCCATTCCCCCAAGCGATTTCATGACCTTGTTAAAACCAAAGGTTGGTTTTTTACGTGTTTCCCTTCGAAAAATCACCTCTTTTCAGCAGATTTTTGGAAACTACCCTTGGGTTTCGCCACTCAGTGCAGCCCCTGGCGAATTTATACATGGGAACACTAAAACCCAAAACTTTTTCTCCCCCTTTTTCCCCTTCGTCTGTCACCTGGCCCTTTTAATTTTTGACGACTTTTCTCCTCATAATCCAAAACCTTCAACTTTCAACTCCCCAGAAAAAGCCAACCAGGTCAAAACCCTTCAACCCAGTTCACACTTGAAAAAGGAATTTCGACAAACTTTTCCTTTTCCCTTGTGTTCTGCTCTAAAAACCCGACCCAAAATTCTTTTTTAAAGTCTATCAAAAAACCCCCCCAACCAAAACGTCTTCTCCACTTCTCTCTCACCACGACCCCAAAAACCAAAACCGTGGTGGTGTTTATGGGTTTTTCTTCCTACGTGCACTCAAATTTCTCAGCAATGATTTTTCCTTTGGGGAAAGGGAATGCACAAATAATTGAAAAAGTATTTTCCAAACTCCACTACCCATTTCACTTCATCAGAGACTGCAGACGGCGGGCATTAAACATCTTCAACACCCCAGAGAAGACACGCCAAAAGGGGATACATAGTCCCCCCCAACAACCCATTGCCAAACATTTTTCCCAACCCTTTTTTGGGCCAAAACTTTTCATTCCAAGTATCTACCCCCCAAAACCCACGCCCAATCAAGGACATCACCAGTATTTAGACAGGACAAGCCCCCATCCCTGCGGGGGGTATACATAATTCCTTGTAATGACTGAAACCAAATTTTATATGGGGGCCCGAAACATCAAGAGCCCTCCAAACACGCTTTTTCAAAACTCCAATATGCAAGCAGGCTGATAATAAAGGAATCCCTGGGGTACCCCCTCGCAATTCACACAACCTTTTAAATTTAAACTACGGGAAACTCAAACTTATAGCCACAGAAGCAACACTCAATACAGAAGAACCCGGGAATCATCGTTATCTCTACAACAAACCCAATTTAACCCAAAAACAATGGCTTCTTTTAGCATAGTTTAAACCCAACTCGCCAAAAAAACCCTTCTTCACCGCTATCCCACATAAGAACAAGAACCTGAAAGAAGGTCTACAACTTGCCCAATACCCCTCCCAAGCTACCCAAGACTCTATAACCCCCCCCGGTGGATATCAGAGGGGCAGCTTCTTCACCTGCCCTAAACATTTACTATAAAATTTCT